TGTAACCGGACTTCCGATTGCAAGTCAGAAGTGATCAATTTCCTCACGACCAGTGAGATTATTCGCGTAATTATTAGTTCTAATTAGATATTTTCTTCTTACAGGAGTTTAACGGTCGCCACCCGTTCTACGTAATGACGTCGCGTACGCTACCGGCGGCACTACCTCAAGCTCGACGGAACGGGAAATCGAGGGAGATAATTAAAGGTGACTCACCGGATTCTGGCTGTACACACGCTGATTTATTATGCTGCTGCTCTGTGTCGCAGACTGAGGTCCAGGAAGATCGTCGTCGTCGTCGAGGTCGTTGGTACACGTCCACCCTCTTAGGCGGTTAAATTTCGACTGTCCGGAAAAAGCCTCGATTAAGATCCGGCACCCAGTACCTCGTTTCACGCTCGGCTTTCGCCTCCCGTGGAAACGAGACCACCAGAAGTTACCAGACCAATCAGAGAAATCCGCTATTACAGCGGGACGACCAGAAACCACCACGACGATCTTTCCGGGTCTGCTAGTACATCCCATACCCTTTCATACATAATATAAGATACCTAAATATATATATAATGATATAAACGTATAACTTATCTCAATACTTAACCTAGTAATATTGGAGTACATATCCCTATACATCTAACTATAACAATATGTCCATACGCTAGATATGCAAAAATAAATCTTCTTATATTAATCAAGGACTCTATATAAATATGCATACTTCCCCGAACGTTTGGCAATACGAGTAAACGTTTACATTGCATGCTCGTGTAAGTGTTTCTACTTACGGGTATTGATCGCATCCGATCCGCGCGCTAGGTGTCGTATTCTTTACCGGCTTTCGCAAATTAACATAAATAAACATTTCTTTCGCTCGCGCGCGTTATACATAAAAATAACCATCTTAACATACGCGACATCAGAGTCCGTCTCATTCGTACCTACACTAAAAGTAAATATAACAAATAATACATTATCTCTTTGATTAATGATCGCTCGGCTCGATGTACGACGTCGCCAAGACTACTTACTAATGCTTTCCTTTTCTGTTTCAGGTGCCGCTGCCCCGGAGGATGACCACGGATCCAGAACCCGAGACATCATCACCAAGGACCACGGACCTCTAGTAATCCTGGTAAGTATCCCTTTTAGTGCCCAACTAATCGATTCTTTTCCTTACAGGTCTCCACGACGTCGCCCATCGATCCACGCAATCACAGGTACGTATGTCACTATTATTACTATTATTATATTCGCGGAACATTCAATCTACGCGCCCGATTAATCTACTAAAATAGGAATAACATAAATAACATACTGATGTTAAAATATACGTTTGGCGGATGACGCGGTTCCGGCTTCGGATTCACTCGTTATACTCTCTCTCTCTATCGTTGCAGGCTACCTTTCCGCGGGATCTTGGATTAGACCTATCGGTTAACCTTCCTCTCGGAGAGTAGGCTCGTCTCACGTCTCTTACCTACGGGATTCGTTTCTGTTGACGATCCTACACCACGTCTACTATTTTTCTACCTCTCCGGGCCACCCTTTGTTCGGAGGTTACGTGCATCACAGCTCCGAAACCGCGTCGTACCGGTCAGTCGCTTAAAACTAAGTGTAATCTACTACTTATCATAATTTTAGCCAACTTAATACTTTAAAACAACAGGCGTCTCAGGCTCGCTACCTGGGCGTTACATAGTCGTTGTTGAGATACCTGTAGCCTACTATGTATCGTTTGTCTAAGTCCAGTCATTCCGGTGTTTCCGGATCTCCCGTCCTGGTAGGCTCACCTGACGTCGCTGAATACTCCGACGGCTCCTGGACGCTTCCTCCGGATGCTTGCAGTCGCGTGGGTTCGGACGACCTCCTCTCTCTCTCTTCAGGTTTGGTCGGCCGTGTCACCGTATGTGCGGCCTAGGGCGTCGCCTCGTCCTCCGCCGGTATCCATGGTGGTCGGAGGAACTCTTCGTCCAGGTGGAGCACCTCCGACATTCCCTCGTCCTCCCTTGGTGTCGTCGTCCTTGATGCTGGTTCGGGCGACTCGGCCGTGCTCACAAGCAGTTCGGACGGCTGGTATGTCCTTGTCGGTGGTTCGGACGGCTGGTATGTCCTTGTCGGTGGTTCGGACGGCTGGTATGTCCTTGTTAGGTTAGGTTAGTTTGGTTTGGTTTGGTTAGTTTGGTTAGGTTGTAACCGGACCCGTGTGTTTTAACCTCTCCG